CACACACACAAACGCGCACACACACAAACGCGCGCGCACACACACACACACACACACACACACAAGCATTTTTTTTTTTTACTTTTTCTTTTTTTTTGATTGATTGATTGATTGATTGATTGATTGATCGGTGGGGAAGGGGTCTTCCTTCCCCACCAATCAAGCACACACACACACACACACACACACACACACGAAAAATTAAGACTTCCTTTTTTTTATTACGTTTTTTTTTATTAAAATACTTAATTTTTGGTTTTCTATTTTTTAAAAATCCGAAAACACTTTAAAAAAATAAATAAAAAATGACCGCGTTGTAGGTCTCTTCAAACCCTACAACCACATTTTTTATTTTTTTTTGGCCCATTAGTTTTTTTTTTTTAAATGTGTGAAAATCTCGCCCGCGGCCAACCGCGGGGCCGACCTCGGGTCATGACCGCGGGTGATACATAGCTCACAAGCACCTTGCTAATTGGCAAAGTCACTCTTCGATGCAATACCAGTCTGGCATAATGAAGAACAGCACTGGTCCAGCAATGCCGGCCTTCTGAAGCAAAGCTTTGTCCCTCGAACATGGCACACCACCAAGTAGTCCTGGTAAGCCTCTCTCTTTATTCCGCACTGGGCGGCATTTGGTCCTCTCTCGAACCTCACTCTCTCACTCTCACTGTATGCTAGACTGCAGCGAACTGTGTAATCTTGCTCTCACTCTACCTCGCACTCTCGCTCTTCTTCTGCCTTCTTCCAGGGCTAGCATTCCAGCTTCAAGCAGCACAAGGCAGAATGAATGCCCGACCTGGGGAAGGCCCAGTACTTGGAGTGTTGACTTGGCCTGGCATAACTCCTGTTGTCTGAGATTTCCGGATCTGTGCAGCCAGCGTGTGCGTCGACCCAGCGGACCTTCGAAGATTTTGGAAACTGTGCTGAGCCTTTAGATTGTGTGTGTTCTGTAGCTGCAGTTGATTACCAATAAACCTTTTACTCTTTGACTTCTGTGACCGGGCGGGGTGGGACTGTTGACTTTCCAACGGGCTGCTTTCATGTCTAGAAGCCATGGGCATCTCATTTTCGCCCTTGACCCCAAGCCTACCGACATATGGACTGTATCATGCATCTAGGAAGGCTGTAGGACTGACCCTCGAACATGCACAAAGGCTACAACCATAAGATCTGTTCTGTGCTGATTTGACAGCGGTTCTTTGCACCATGCTCTTGTGCCAGCACTCGAGGCCACTCATGAGCAGTGCACCGCTACAGTGGATGAAATGACCATGGCTTCAGAGAAGCTATTTTGTCTCCTACTTGAATTTTTCGTTTTTGTAAAATATGTATGTTTACAGTCTTTATATATTTTTGAGTAAGTTTGTTTTCACTTTCTACCCACTGAACATCAACGACTCTGCCTTCTGCACCTGGAGCTACTTTTAAGCAAGTTTCTGAAATGACCATGGCTTCAGAGAAGCTATGTTGTCTCCTACTTGAATTTTTCGTTTTTGTAAAATATATATGTTTACAGTCTTTATATATTTTTGAGTAAGTTTGTTTTCACTTTCTACCCACCGAACATCAGCGACTCTGCCTTCTGCACCTGGAGCTACTTTTAAGCAAGTTTCAAAGAAACCCCTGTCAAACCAGGGCATCACCAAACAGCACCACACTAATCGCGACGAGGCTAGCCCCTGATGGCTAGAGCGAAACCACAACCCATGACAACTACATGCATGTTATTTGCCACTGTCATCATCATTCTTGTCCAGCAGTACCACGAGTGAGGTCCAAAGGCTAAACACCTTGTTGTCATCATCTCTGTCTGGATCAGCTCATCCTCACGATCACTACCAGATTGTGTCAATCTTCGTCATAATAACGGGCATCGTCGAATACATCATCATCATCATCATCAAGAGAAGGCAGGGATTTAGGGGAGAGAGAGAGAGAGAGAGAGAGAGAGAGAGAGAGAGAGAGAGAGAGAGAGAGAGAGAGAGAGCATTGAGTCATATGAACACACCTTCCCCGCATCAGATGGCTGGCCGCGCCTCCGACTCTTCTTACATAGTTGCGTGACCCCTTCCATCCATCCTGATGATGTCAGGTCCACCACAGAAAGGAGCTTCTGGTAGTGCTGAAACACCCTTGCGCTCGGCCCCATCTCGGAGCTGTCAAACATCCCCTCTAACAGGAGATGTTGAAAATTTACGAGCGCTGCCTCAAACTGGCAGCTATTGAACATATCTGCCAAGCTCCTGAATCAAAGCACAGCAGACCAGTAGTCAAAGCCTTGCCAACCACTGACAATTAAGACTGCCCTCTAATGATACCAGCAACCAGGCAACTATCAGTTCCAATTTTCCAACACAATTGTCGTTCACAAGCCAGGCAAGCAACATGGATGAACAAAGTGGATTTGTTCTCAGTCAAGTAGTTGCTCAAACAATCTGTTTCAGATGAGAGAATTACTCGTACGTATGGAAAAGGAATCAGAAGACTCCCAGAAAATCCAAATCCAGTTTGCACACTTTCTTTTTACGAAAGGGCAGGAGGAGGACTAGCAGCAAATCTCAAAAACAGTTGATCAAAGAGATTCAATGAAGTTGTGTGCAACCCTACGCAGGTAACTGCCCCGTATGCCTCACGTGAGTTCTCCCGTCGGGATCATCAAGCGCTCATCCTGCAGCATTTTGAAAGCAGTCAGAAGATGATGCATTGTTGCTGTCTAACACAGAAAGACCAGTTCGGACCCGAAAAGTCAGTCGGATGACCAGCCAACCAAGGCGCAAGCAGAATCCTGGGCACAACCGCACATGGTTTCTAAAGCTCCAGACTTGCTTTGCACGGACCGCAGAGATCAATGTCTTGGAACCTCAACAGAGCCACAGCACATCAAAACTGAAGTCGGTCACTGGGAGTTTATCTCAAGTGACGATACAAAAACTTCACCATGGACCTCCAAACTCTGTGTCACCACAGCACCTAAATGGATCTGCACATCTAGCTCCTCAACGCTGAGGTTACAAGACGGCGCTACCCATCCCAGCATGAGCCCGACGTCCTCCACCGTGCAAGCACGGATTCGAACCGGCGACCTCGGCCTCAAGAGCCAGGTATCTTAACCACTACAGCCAGGACACGGTGTTCAAAAGTGGAACCATACCGGTCGTGATATCCACCTCACCCCTGCAGGGCTGTAGTGTCCAACTCAACACACACCACACACAACACCACACAGACACGACGAATTCTCACACACCTCGCTCTCGGCAATCAGCACAAACCCTTACCACTGGTACTCCCTCCCGTCCACCTATACGGGCCACATATCCCGCGGTTAACGGGTGCTTCCACAGCAGCTAAAT